CTATTAAATGGGCAGTATCAAATCACTACAAAACAGCTGCTCGTTTCATTCACCACAACTAACCACCCCTCGCAAGCATCTCGCACTTCAAAACAAAATTAAATATTTCGACACTCTAAACAAGTAGAGAGTTGTATTCAATGCGCTTTTTTAATTATCAGTATTATTACCTGCCTCATGTAAGCTCATTGTATTGTTATCATCCTTCTTACAAATCTCAACGGTGCGGCCATATTGTTGTTTTGACGCATGCACCTTTGCATTTAATTGCATTATAATTGTTGTTTTGTTTTAATTGAAACGCAGAAATCTCCGGCTAATTGACATAACTTTTTCGGACTTACATCGTGCATCACTGACTGGAATTCTTTCACTGAAAATATTGTTACTGATACCAGTCCACTTTCATTCCTCTCTAATTTCAAAATGTCTGAAACATATAGTTTTACAGTTTCGTTTCTTTTATGTTTCCTTGCGTAGTGCTTACCCAATTTTCTATGCCCGCCTATACATGTTGTTTGTTATAACCCTTTTATATAACAATTTGTTCATTCCCTCCCTTTCCTCTTCTTGAGGAAAAGTTAATATAAACTTGAATCTGAATCTTCTGAAGGTTGACATCAAGGTTCTCAGTCCTTCCGTCAGGCGTCTACAAAAATGTCGTGAACCGTCATCCAAAACCGGAATGTTACTAATCAGAACTGATGATCCCCATAATTGATCATAATTCACTATGCTCAATTCAATAATCTCGTTTGAATTCATTTTGCATCAGTCGCAGTGCAAGATAATATGTTAAAAAAACCTCCGTTAATTAGGACATAGCGTTGCCTAATAAATCCTGAAACGCTTAAAAAGCTATAGGTTTAGCATTCAGTCATATTGCTTAAGGCCTTTTGAGTACACCATTTCGCAAATAAATCTAATGGATGAAGAATAAACCGACCGACAAAATTGAAAGATTTTTGAGAACGTAAATTTTCCCAGCAGCCATGAGAAGATATCCTCAGAATTTCTAACATTGCCACCTCTCATTATGTGCGTTGTACCAGATTAGAAATGCCGGCATAATGTAAAATATGGAATATTTATCCTTTCAGCGACACAGATATGACACGAAATAAATGTCAATGGAAGTAAGACCAGAAAACCAGCCCTGATTCAATACGCACATATGCAAAGGCGAAAACCCTTGATCAGGACAATCGCAACTACGGTTGTGCTACGCTGACGAAAATCTTAGTCTCACAGTGGAAATCACAGTATTGTATTCTATATTACTTCAGAATGCCAGATATGCACGCCATTACCGCGCGTATTTTTTTTTTCCGAATTCGCCAGGAGTTCCTTTTTCAATGCGCCATACAGTTTGCAGTACCGGTTTTCAACATCTAGAATGTTAACGAGTGTCCCTTCACTTTAGGCTCGAACTTTAGGGAACCATCATGAAAGCCTCCACGGGTTCACCAAGCTATAGGCTACCGGCGGCGGAAATGACTCATGCACGAAAGAAGGAAAACTGTCGGCGAAAGGTCGCAACATTTGTCGATCAAACAATGCGGGCCCTTTTTTCTGAGACGAACTTTCAACGAAGCGTCGCAGTCTAGATAACACGATATCTCGTTGAAACATCGTTCCACGAAGAGATTGCCACAACTTTCAAGTCAGAAATGCAGGGCGAGTGCCTCAAAAACAAGCCCAGCTATACAAAACAGGATCCGTAGGAGTAACGCGCGCATTTGTCTCGTCGCGCAAAACTACATAGAGGCTCACTTAAGTTGAAATTCAACGTAAAGTCGATGCGGTCATGACAAAACAGCAACTGGACAGCTCGTCGTTGCGCAGTAAGAGGACAAGGAAAAAGGTGGTGAAGGAGTTGAGAGGTGCTGAAGACCACAATCTTTGTCAATTTTGAAAATAAAAGCTAGTGCATTTTGGCAAAAGCAGTTTTTTTGCTATTTACTTCAGAAAGGTCGAGGCTCCAACTCCCAAATCATTTAAGCAAGGCACTGAAATTGTTGCACAGCTCCCTTAACGGTCTTGTATGTACAAATGGATGCCAGCCACCATTTGCACAAACCTACGTTAAACTGCATGTTCAATGGCGGCTTAAAGATGACAATAAAAGTACAATGAAGGCATGTAATAAAGAGTTTAATTAAAAACGTATTTTACGGAGAGTGCGCAGGTGAGCTTGTAGATGCTTACAATGGTGGTTTTATTCTGAGACTAGGGCAGAAAGTGGAAATATATTTATATTAGAATAAGAAGTAACAAGGAGAGAGCCACTTTATGTTTCTGTTACTCTCTCTTGACTGTAAAATATGCTTGCTTATCCCCCAGGCTTTGGCTAAAAACATAATTTAAAACGTACAGCGAATTTTGATTTCCAATAAAAAAACAAAAAAACATCAGAGCTTTGTAAGTAAATTTAGAGGCGTTCACTATCTAGTAATAAAGCCAATGTTTTCATTAAAACATTTTAACTAATAAAATATTGTATACGAATTTAGAACTGAAAATAAACATTACTAAGGCGTAATTGTGCCTGCAGTCTCAAAGTGAAACACGCCACGCGTCACGTGTCGACGACCGATGGGCGACTGCCCTGATGGGCGACTTTCAAATTATTTTATGCAGACTGTTTATTCGAAAATACTTTGCACAGAAACAAGCGAAACGTTACAAGATTGTAGTAGAAGTTTCAATGAGAGTCGCGAAAGAAAAAATGAAGAAATAAACTAATGAAATTGAACCCGGGTTCTTCGCGTGGCAGCCACGCACGACGCCAACTCGGCCGGGCATGGGGCAATATCAATTTGACGAAGGTAAAAGTATATCATGTTAACACTATCCGTACAAGAAAAAAACAGAGTTTGTGTCCTCTAAGTTCTTTCTCAACCGTCATCACTTCGAACGAATTGATCGTACAAACGAAACATTGGGTGTGTCAATCTAGTTCGAGACATTCGACAAGAAAGTAAAAGCGCTTTCGAGATCGTTCGGTAAACTTAATGGCACTCGCTGTGCCACGTGATCTATATCAGCCGTGGTTCCAACCTTATCAAATTTGGACACCATTCAGGCGATTTGACAACGGATCCAGAGAGAGAATAAAAATAACTTTTGGAAACGATATAATTGATATTCGGATTCATCGTAGCACCACCGTTCGTCAATAAATGATAACATAACTGTCCAGTGAACAAGAGCAACTAATAAGGAGTGAGTTTCTTTATTTTAGTGGACTTCATGTATTGCGTTTATTTTAACATCAAATGCACTCGTCAGATTATTTTCTTTTTATTTGCGAAAGAAGCTTAGGAATATTTGAACGTTCAAGCAGCTAATATCTTTAGAATATTGTGCTGTTATAGGGTTTCAACACATTGTGCCTTATGATTAGGGACGGCTTAAGCAAGTATAAAGGTTTCTAAGACCAACAGAATTTGTTGCTTCCTGATCGACTATTATATGCTGTTGTAGAAGGTGGAGTACTCCCGTAAGCTTCCAAGTAATTATTGAAGTGAATTATTAGTAATTATTCCAGTTTTCCATGACTATCCGCTACTCCAATGGCCTGCATTTTGTTGCAAGAGATACTCCTAAGCTTTCTAAGGGAATTAAAAAAGAAATAGTGTATAGAAACCTTAAATATTCCAAAAGAAAAGTATCTACTTTTTCATCCACTGTATAGAGCTTTTGGCCTTTTTTGTAGACGTTTTATAGAACCTAGTGTATAGAGTGCATATTGTATAAAAACAGATAGCGATTTTAAGTGCTTCTGTCAGTTTTTCGCGAAAAGAATATAAAATGTTCAATATGAACTTTAGATTTGTCACAATACATCCATGGAATCGTGTGCTCGCCACTTCCCGTGTACATATTCGCAGGCATTACAAATGCACACGACACGGAACACACATGAAGCTAGTAATTAAGTTGTATTGGATGCTACACCCTTATATATTATCTACACTTGAAAGGCAAATATTTGTAGGAGGAGCATCACGTAACATAAAAATATTTCAAGTATTTAGCTTTTTTTCAGAAATAGTTTGTAGAAAATGTGGTATATAAGAGTAGGTGAGCTGCACCTCCAACTATTATGCATTTCACGAGGCAACACTTATTTGTCGCATAGGAAAAAATCAGGCTCCGCACAAAGACTCCAACTGGGTGTGATGTCGATTTTTCGCAATGCATCTTATTATTCCAAGGATTGTAGTCTAAAGAAGTTCTATAGACCTATCATGACGGAAAGTCTATTGAGACGTGGCGAATGAAATTTTATAGCATTGCTATTTTCTGTACTTTGTAGACTTGTGTTGAAAACAATTCTATAGAAAGCCTCTTGAGAATTGTGGATACGGCGTCACTAGAAAGGAAGTTAAAAGAGTCGTTCAAATCAGGATAGGGTTTTTATAGACTGCCTGAAACATTTTTCTAGGAGCTTAACACCTTTTCTTCTGTTTTATATTTATGCCGCTAGACCGCCACACTTTTCACTCCACATTTGAATGAGAGTACATCATGCTTTTCCCCTTTCCGTGCTTTATGCGTGATGGCGTCGGGTCTTCTAGAGTTCCGCATGGAGTGGTCGTTCTAAGATATTATGCCCACATTGCAGAGTTGATTCCACCTAAACCCCTACCTTTTTGGTGGGCATGCAAGACCCACGAAACACATCGCTGTCAGGCCTTTGCAAGTCTGAAGACGAGGGCCACCTTAAAAATTTCGTCTAATTGAAAAAAAAAAAAAAACATCGATGTACTCCGAACGGAGGCATAATGTATCACAAATGTGTCATGATATATCTCAAGCTGACCGGACACGACACAAATATATATATAACTACCCCTCGCACAATGCATCAGAAACGTTTCCTGAATTCCAATACAAACTACATTATATTTGTTTCATCACGCAGAAGGAATTAAACAGAGAGTAAGCCTCTGATATTAGTTCTGCGTCTGAAACAATGACGAAAGGAGACTCACCGAGCGTTTGGAGGCGCGTGAAGGAGAGGGAAGGGCACTTCCCCTGTACATAAGTCACGTCGCACTTGTACGTGCCCTCGTCCTCAACGGTGAGTGGCTGGATTCGGAGGTGAGCCGACGCGTTGCCCGGGTGGAAGGTCGCCCTGTGGGGTTCGCTTAGGGGACCCATCACCCGGTTCACGGTCTCCGAGAAGAGGTACACGCGCTGCCAGTCCTCGGACACGTTCTTGGTCCACGTGATGAAGTAGACGCGGCCGCAGCTCGCTTCGTCCACCTCGCACGGAAGCACGGCCCACTGGCCGACGAACCCCGTCACGTTGTGCTCCCGACCTGGAGGGGAAAAGAGGGCCACAAATTAATCACTCGACAATGTCAGTCGTCCATTCTCATCTCGGATAATTCGTCAGCGCTACTATGAAAGTGCTTGTGACATCTGTTCTGTCTAGCGATTATGTGTGCAATATAAGGTGGTCCGTTGCGCCTTAAAGCCACGGATTCGCTACCCGTCTATTTTCTTATACTCGTGAACAGTGCAGTCAGTTCGTCAAATTGCAGCTTTCAACTTTGTTTACAATCTAGCAGGTGGCAAGAACATATATTACAATTCGCAATAACGTAAAAAAATCGATGTGTAGTCAATGAAATCATTTTCTGAACTCACGCGGTTTGTTTGCTTACCGGTATTGTGCATATTGATATACAGATTCGGAATGGTTTTGTGACAAGCACGGGATCGCTGTGGTTTATAGGGAGTATTAGTATGCAATGGCAGATCGAAACTGTACCAGTAGACCTTGGCGCTTGAAAAATTAGCTCTCTAGAATTTGTTATGCCGTACAATAGCGCAAATATGTTCCTGGATGAGAACATTACAAATATGCAGGTACACTATTAGTTGATATGAAGCATTTCTTCATATTGACTCACTATGCTATGACAATGAACTTGCTTCTGAGGCATTGTGTTAAGATATGTTAAACAACAGCAGTTAAAGATTTACACCGAATGTGCAACACAAACTCTGTTGCCGATTAACTGCGGCCAATGACAAAAGCCATCTCATAACGCGATCCCAGCGTCACAGAGAAATGACTCCTACGTTCATTGGAGCTACATGCCTATCTATCCAACTGAACATCCCGTAGAGAGCTAAGCCGTCTTTCCTTCGTCGCTTTAGTTCTCTCACAAAGACCAAATTCAATATTTAAGTGTGTCTTTGGTTTACTATGTTATATTTTATGAACGCAATTAATTCCTGCTGTAGTTATCGTCCCGTCATGATTGTTAAAAATATTTAGCATAGCGTATTGACCAGCAGTGCTCCTAATTAACTGCGAAGCGTAGTTTAGAGTACTTAATACATTCTGTAAAATAATGTACTGAACTACACGATGCTCCAACTAAAAGTTTTGAAATGTACACAGTGAAAACGTTATCTTCGTCGAGTTATGAAGGCTACATTCAAATCACAGAAAATAATCGCAATCATGTAAGATCGGAATACCAAGGAAACCGGGTGGAGCTTCCTTCAGGAACGGAATATAAAAATATGCCCTTTAGTTATCGTTTTTTGTGAAATTCGTAAAACAAGTTCTTTTCCAATAACGGATAAATAATTTAGCTTTAATTTTTGCCGAAGACAAGAAATAATAATCTGAAACTAAATGTAGACTTAGTTTAAAAACACGAAACGTGCAAGCTTGTTGTTTACCATTTTTTCAGCGTATATATTACACTCATTACTGAGTTCATTATTTTTTTTTTTAGATTGGCAGACAGCGCCAGAAAAAATATAATTATATATTTCTTTTTCAAGCTTCGTCTCTACCTAGATATATACCAACGGAATAAGAGTAAGAGCGCAGGAAAGCTGGTATAGCATTACCATTTCTTTAAATTACCTGAGATTGGGGCGAGAAAAAGATTCTCTAAACTTGCTTTGGCGTTTTTCGCCACACGTACTCGGTAACATTAATAATTGCGATATGAGTTGCAAAACTAAAAAAAAAAAAAATAGAAAGATCTGTGACACTGCCACATGACTGGACAAGATGCGACGAAAATTCTATTTCAAGCACAAAGATGAATGGCGCGAACTTGTGACAAATTACATTAAAAAAAATAAAAACAGCATCGAGATATTAGAAAAGCGGCCGGCGATTAGTCGGCGAGCAGCAAACGAGAGCGCGACCAACTCAACAAGGTCACGCGCAGCTTCTTATCTAGTGGGATTCGGAATCTTTAAAAATCATCCAAGAAGGTTCGAGCGCTCAAGCGTTCGGGTTGAGAAAGAACAGTCAATTTCGAGAACAAGAACCTAGGACTAAATGATAAAAGTTACGTCCCTAGTGATAGTAAACACGAATCTCCTAGAAGTCCATGACAGAGCGTTGCTTGCTTGGCGCCGCGTGCCGCAATATCCCGTGCAAAGAGAAGTTTGGACATTGGGAATATTGGACACCAAAAAGCTTTTCCTTCGTGGATATATACGGCGACACCGGGCTAACACAGTAAAGTGTAAACTCAGCTATTGAAATGTTCGACTTTAACTTGCACCAGTGAGCTCGGGTGTACAATCACGCGCCAGTGGGGAGCTCGTCAATATCTAGGTCATGGGTCTCGAAAGGTTTTGACCAAGGGGTGCGAATTCGGCACCTGTCCCATACTCAAAAGCAAGAAATAAAAAAAATAAAATTAAATTAAACATAGACAGGCATCGAAGATCAGATAATTTGTATAAAGTCGATATTATGAAAATGACATTTATTGTGTATAAATACATATGCTTTATTTAAAATATTTAAATGTTTGATAATTACAATTATACACGAGAAGCTTGATGTAACTTGTATCTAAAAAAGATGTATAAGGAAAAGCGAAATTAGGGAAGACGCGCAAGTGGTAGAAAAGCGGAACCAAGCGCCGAAGTGCCGCGAATTTATAAGATTTGATAGTTTCATCTCATATTATTTCATGAAATCGGAAACGTACGTTCGGTTTCGGAAACATTGAAGTGCCAAATGTAAAGACAAAGATTGAGAGGTTTCAACAACCCTAGCTTAGCTATAGACGCTTTACACACGCGCCAGATTGAGCAGCCATAGCCGCCCTTCTCTTGTCTTACCGAGATGCCGAGCCACTGAAGTGTGCGTTGACGGGTCTTCACAAGGGCCTATGCTGGGCACAAGAATACAGTAGCATCTAAAATGGCAATAACCTGTCCTGCTGCGGTAATCATGAAGTGAAGCGAACGGAATAAGAGGGAACAAAAACTGAAGGTCAGTTATGGCGGCGCCCATGCACAGCTGCTGTAAAGCGTCTATAGTCTCAAGGAAGTTGTATGAAGAAAAAAAAACAAAAAAACAATGCACGCAAGCTTATTGATGTGCTCGGCGTCAGTCGCTTTGAAATGTTTCTCCCCACAAGTGCTTTATTAACTCACGAAAATCTTTTACAACCTCCTGTATATGATTGTCAATATCATATGACAACTCTTAATTATTATATAAGACAGTTTCGATTTCTGTAGATTACTAAGTAAGCAAACTGAACGTTGAAAGAATGCATTATTATTGTACTATAAGTACTATCGATCCTTAATTTTTTTCGAACCGTGTGGGCTTGAGAATTTAAAAGTATATCATCAGGTTAAAAAAATACTAATATTTAAGTCAAAAACGAAACAACAAAGATAAGAGTCGTAAAATGTAGAGAGAAATATGTCTTCTTTTCAGACGCATTGCTTAATATAAAAGAAATCATATATGTCAAAGACATTTTATTACATTCATAAGAGCACATACAATGCGTTTCAATAATAAAATAAAAAAATAAAAATAAGCTTTTTTCTAAATATAACATTGAATTTTGTACTTTTAGCTTTTCTTTCCATGTTTAGTGATGTTTCTTCTGTATAAAATATACTTAAAATAAAAATAGTATAATTTTTAAACAACGCTTAAATACAAGCTTTTATTTTGTTTCATATGCCTTAAATAATTGTAAGTCAAAAGCTACCTCGAGTCAACTTTGGCCCACTATTGCCAAATGTGCAACATTCAATTCTGTTTTTATTTTATACAATTATATAATGAAATAACATTTCTGAGGTAAGTTTCACCTCTTTATGCAAAGTAATAAATCATTAAATAATGTTAACATTAAAAAAAAAACACGAAAATCTCAACGCTACGAGACAATAAAATGTGTCACCAGTAAAAGCTCCGAAAATCGCCGGAGATGACATCTGCCCTTTCGAAGCCCATAGCTCAAGAACAACAAAAGTTCCCTGGTTCTTATTTGCAGTTTTATTCTAGCCCCAGATTTTTCACCAAAATACAATTTTACTTTTTGAGGATCCATTACTTTTTCTTGCGTGATTTGAGTAAATACACTTGCATGTCACGAAAATGTGCAAATTTGACTTCATTGATAAATGTTTGTGAAATGTTATTTTTACCGGTTCTTATCTTAATTTTCAACGACACACGATTAAGAAGACGCGCTGTCGTGATGCACCCTTTAGGAGGGCATCAGCGTGGAAGGGACAAAATATTGAAAACGAAAAGCTAATATATTTTACATCCGATACTCTCGCAGTTTTTTACACTTTTTTTTTCTGCTATTTGCATCTATGTCTAGTTACATTAGAGACTTTCTTGATTAACTCGAGTAAAATATAGACAAAATAATGCACGAAAGTCCGCTGTAATACAATCTCTATTTAAAAACAAAATTGACAGCCACGGCGCATAACCTAATTGCAGATAAAGCTAGTCTGAGCCATATCATGTTGCTCTGAACTCTGCAGTCATGAAGGTGGATATGTTACCTATAAAACACTACTATCTTGATTTAGATATGGTAGTTCGTAATAGGGTTCACTCTTAAATGAATACACCTCGAATCGACGGTAGTGGCATGTGGTCTTTAGCTAAGTTATGCCTTGTAAAAATGTAATAGTGATATATGACCACTGCAGTTATCGCTTTTCAAAAGTAGCTTTTCTTCAGCGAAGGCAGCTTCTGCTTGATGACTTTGAATATAATGTAATATTTGATGAGGACACTTCTACTACTTGTTGCAGTTTGCGCATCCTGTAAACCACGCTTTCCCTCTTTAGGCCTCGTAGTGAGGGAAAACTGTCCACACATGAAGGACAATGGAAGGGAATTCCCGTGCTCG